ACATATTTTAGCAGATGTTGCTACAGAGTAATTTTTCGCTCTTGTCTTGATAAATTCACCACAGATATAGCAAAATGCGTCTGTCAGATGCTTATAACCTCTGTAACGAATGCATCTATTAACGACGATTTGTCTGCACTTAGCTAGAAGTAAACTGTTGATTTATTATTGTAAAAATACAACAATCGCGACACAAGGCTAAAAAGAGAAATTGGGTGAGGCTGGTTATCATTGATTATCTCATGCCTAGCTAATTTAATTCACGACCCATTTATTCAATACAAGTAACCCATTCACTACAAAGAGTAACCCTTCACCATTCACTCCTACATAAACGGCAATACTCAATAAACAGGGAGCCTAAAATAATACCTCATGACATAAGAATTTCTTATATACAAATGTTCATAGAAAAATATATATAAAAATTTAAGGATGGTATGAAAATGAGGCGGTGTATGAATCCCCAAAAACAAAACTAAAATATAATAAAGTATCAAACAGAAAAGAAAAGAAATTAGTAAAACTCGTCCAACCTAGAAAAATAAGAGTGACCGATGTATTCTGTCTTCAGAAGCTCACTCACTGGCGAAGAGGGAAGGATAAAATAAATATGGGGATAGGAAAATCAAAGTCGAGATAAAAAATGAGATCAAAACAAACTGGGGAGATAGGGAATCTCCACTTGGATCATAACAAAAAAAGAAGACGACGAGAACAGGCCGGGAATGACACTTATATTAACTAGGTAAACAAAGAGAGTCTAAATCAGGGAAGGGTTTCATATGAAACTGCCCCGTTGTGACCAAGAGGACTTAAAAAAGAAACTCAAGGATAGCCCCTTTCACACGTACAAAGCTCGCTACTTTCATCCACCTTTCGCTGAAGTCTGTTCATACCAAACGCTTTCTATCCGTTCTGATCTTCACCTTCAGCTTATTCTGAAAGGATCCGACCAGAGCCTGATGAGAATAGCGTTCGTATCGCAAGATTCTCTCATTTCACGTCGTCCAGATCAGCATTATTGCCACGGCTAGCAGCCTTGGAAACACCATTCGTTTCACCCTAGAATACGGAGATGACACATTATCGCACGCGTATGCAATATCGATGAACACGAGATTTTTCGGGACGGTGATAACCGCCGTCAAGTCACCGACATAGTCCCGGAAACGGCGCACCTGAGGACAATGGTAGAAGGCGTTCGAAACAGTTTCTTCTAAACGAAGATAACGCCGATGACGGTGGGATAAATCCGCCCCAATCTAAAGACCATGTCATTGAGAGATATTACGTTCCGAATCAATCGCTATGTTCCTTGCAGAGATGAAGTACAGACAACCGGTAAAGGATGGGAGGAAAGACCTAAGTGACACACGCCTCAGCTCTACTCTTCAAGAACAACCTCTTTCGGTGCCAAGTCCGAACCGACGCTCAGACCTTTGCCTGTACTCCTGATCATTTTTTTCTCTAGCTGGAGTCCGGACCAGAATCACACTCCAGAAATGCGGACGGGTCCATCAGTCCAACCAAATGGCTCCGGAAAAGCGACCTCCATTCCAGGCAGCTAACTGCAAACCGAAAGACTTGGCCTCTGTGATCATTTCAGATTCCTTCTGTACTACCTCAATGTCACTGCGGCATGACACAAAAATGGATACGTCATCAGCGTACGCGGAAACCCTGTCTAGAACCCCACCAAGGACAGCGATTGCATGTAGGACCGGACTACTCTCTCCGTCCTACAGCCGGTAAAGGAGAGCCTCTAGCGCCAAAGCGTAAAGTAGGGGTGACAGTTGGCAACCCTGACGCACCGGCCGAGAAAACGCAAAAAGGCGCAACCGCTTTCCGTTCACTTGTTATAGGAGCGATACAGGAGGCTAATCCACCTGCAAAAGTCGTATATGAATCCAGTGGATGCAGAACAGCAGCCAGGTATAGGATGTCGACTCTATCAAATGCCTTGGATTGATCCAAATTGATCAACGCGGCTTGATCGTCGTCTTTTACACACTTTAGGATCAGATGCAGGTTGCTCTGAATTGTTCGGCCCTTCACAACACAAGTCTTCTATGGTTTCAACAGAATCTCGAGAACTGACTGCAAACGCTCCGTCAGGATCTTGACCAAAACCTTTAACTTTGTGTTTAGCAGAGTTATGGGCCTATAATCGTCTAATTCCCGCCTGCCATCTTTGCCCTTTTTCAACAGCTTGATCCCACCTCTAGTGATCAGCTAGAAGTAAACTGAATTGCTAAGCTTAATTTCCCTGTACTTATAGTTTCATTTATGTTGATAGAACTTTGTTGTAGAAATTCTTGAAACTTCTAAAATGTTTTAGAGAATTCTCCTTCAGCAACTAGCGCTGAATCTGTCTAGAATGTAATAGAAAATAGTTCAGTTTCAAAACCTCGATGTCCAGGTCACAAAAGCAAAATTCAAGACAAAAAACGATTAGGAAATAACATTTGCTGACCAAAGTCAAAAAAAGTCAAAATTGTGTTACAACATTTGTTGAATTATAAATTGCACTGGATGCTTTAAACGTTATTTGGAGGAAAAACGCTCTGTGCATTCGTCAAACTTCAGTAGATAATGCATTAGACAATATGCAATATGTACACAAGTTTGTATGTCAATGTGCATCTGATAGTAAATAATATATTTTAAAATATTGCTTGAGATCCGGTCATGTCAATATTATATGTCTGACTTACAAGCAGTGTAATGAAAACAAAATACATCATCAGGTCTGATTTATGCATACGCATGATTTAAACTTATAAAAAACAGAGATGCAACAAGCTATGTAAAGTGAGGATTGATGCTGTAATTAAAATTCACTTGAAAAACATGTGCTTAAACATTCGCCCGCTTGCGGAGATGGTCAGCTAAAATGTGGTTCTTGTTTGAATAAAAAAGAAACATTACTTTGCTTAATCTCTCAATTATTCTCCAAGCAGCATTTCGATGAAAGCGAGCAATCAACCAAAATAAGTTTCGATTTGTATTTCGACAGTCCTTCCACTTCGAAGATTACCGGCTGATCCAGATTAAGATGTAAAGTAAGCGTAAAAAGTCTTATTACATCACAATTCTGTTATGAAGAGAAATCTTAGAAAGCCGTAAAGTTTGCTCCACTTACTCACAGCCATCTAAAGAAAGATTATTACTGGTATGTGTTCGTGCTCCACTCTGACGGTATGTAACGCAAGGTCGGTTTAATACAATAATTCTCAACGTGGGGCATGGTAATATTTTGGTGGGGCATGCGCAGGATGTGCACCATTCGGCTTACTATAGCAACATGAGCTCAAATTTCATATTGCATTATTATTTCAGGATTAAAATGATCAAAGTATATTACAGAATAAACTTTCATTTAAATATTTTATATTTCTGCCTTTCAGTTCCTTATCATATGTTTTGAAACTATATATAGTTTTTTTTTAATTTTAATTTTTGTCTTTCATGGACGCCATGGTCATTGGAAGCTTGTTTAGAGACAAAGTTAATGTCCTTTTAAGCTTACTTCACGTGAATTGCAGTAAAATTTTGAATGTGTAAGAATTAAATATTACAGGAGGGGGTACCAGAATTTTAGAAATATCAAAGTGGGGCATGGCCCAAAATTGGTTAGGAACCAATTATACATACATACATATATATATATATATATATATATATATATATATATATATATATATATATGTGTGTGTGTGTGTGTGTGTGTGTGTGTGTGTGTGTGTGTGTGTAAGTCGTCCACGCTGATAGCATGTGAAGCAAGGTCGGTTTAATGTGAGGATCCCAAGTTCTAATATTGCCCAGTCCCCGCAACCAACGTCACTCTGGCATCAATATTCCACCAAACGTACTTCTAGTGCAATGGGGGAGGTGCTGCGGCAGAGTTGGAATCACCAGGACTAGACATCTCTCATTTCGAATTTGTGCTCTGTGAGAAGACAAAGACAAATGTTGAGATATGTAAATGCACTAAATAACTCAAAAAGCGAAAATTACTATTACCTTGCGTCAGAAAAATGATCAGTTTTTAAAGAAGTTTATTCGCCTCGAGACGCTTATGATTGGCCGGAAGTAAAATCAGTTTGTATTTTCTTTTAAGCTGTTTCCTCAACTCGCGAAGCTTACGATTAGCTAAGATTGAAACGGATTTGTATCCTTTTTAAAGCAGTCTTGGGGTAGATTGTTCTAGTTCCTCAAGGACACTTGGACCAGTGACTAAAGACGTTGGTTAGATCCAGTAACTGGACGCAAAAGCTTGTGAGTTCAATACCAGGCCACAGCAGTGGTGAACCAAAACTTGGAGAGTTGAGTTAAAGGGAAATAACTGAGACATCCAGAAGAGGCATGGCACGTGGAACTAGAACACTCTACCCCAGTGGACGAAATAAAGGGTTTGGTTGAAAATTCCAACCACCTGAAGAAGGCCAGAACGTACAACGGCCGAAACGTTGTGCATATGGTAATCAAGATGAGGATAACAGTCCGAATAATGCAAGTAATCATAATACCTCATCTAAGAAATATAGACTAAACTGATTTAATCTGAATACATTTTACAAGAAAATCTGTACAACGGATGCTGTTGATGATGACGTTGATGATGATGGAAGAATTAGAAAAAATTGTTCCGGTGACAGTAGATAATTATAAGATAATTATAGTGACATTTTTTGCTGTTATTATTGCTTATAGCGATGATGTTGATGAGAAACCATCCAACTTTCATTAGAAAGTTGAATCTTTCCTCAAGTTGTTGATGATGCTGTCAATCCAAATGCAATAGGAAGCGCCGTGTTTTCTATGTTAGTCAAAAAAAACAATGATCTTGTTGGTCAATGATGACTGAAAAAAATGCTGACAAACAATGGACACGGTGACAAGAGTTGAAGGATGAAGGATAAAATTAAAAGTGAATGTGAAAAGAATCTCATGATAACTGCATGGATATTCGTTTTTGTTTGTTTGTTGCTTATCACGAGTATGACAAATGAATCGATTGATCTAAGAGAGAAAAGGCGACATGAAGAAATGATGCGTGATGAAGGGCCCTGAACTTAATTACGCGAACAAAAAAAGGTCATTGATGTCGTAATCTGCTGTTTATCATGTGTTTTTGTCTCACAAACGTGTCACAAAAAAGGATGTTGCGGAGAGTAAGGAACATTCATATTATAATAAAATTTCGACATGGGAAAATTCCACTTCCTGCCAGACAGGAAGCTGCCATACTTTGGGGAAGCTAACGAAATTCGAAGCGAAAAAGGAATTTTCTAAAGACAGACGCTGATTCTCAAGTCATTACTGAATTTAACAACCATTTAAATGAAATAAAGTCTCTTTGTCAAAACAGTACAAACGATATGCGTGAAAATTAATACACTCCTGATCAAAAATTTAAGACCACTTGAAAAATTTTTAAATATTTTCATGGAAAAATTTTAAACATTTCTTACTTAAGGTTACTAATTTTATAATCTAAAAGGTTATGTAGACAAAAAGTTATAAGTTTATCGAGAAAATTGACATTTTTATAAAATGAGGCGTTTTACACTTGATCAAAATTATAAGACCAGAGACAAAAATTCTACCAAATTGTACAAAAAGTGTACGAAAAACATTCAACAACCTAATTTAATAATGAGTTCTACCTTCACTGGTATTCTTTGGGGCATGCTAGAAATTTATGCTTCCATTAAGTTGCGAGGAATATTGCTCCAGCTTCTGAAGATAGCTTTATGAAGTTCATTTTTTGTTGAATACTGTTTGCCATTTCGATAAACATCTCTTGCCATCCATCCCCAAACATTTTCAATTGCGTTCAAGTCTGGTGAGCATGCAGGATGTCTCAAGAGATGGCAATTGTTCATATGAGCTTTATTTTTTAGTTCTACCGAGTCAGACCTTTACATCTTGAACACGTCACGCTACTTCCACAGAGTTGAATCACCCCCATTTCCTTCATATTTCACGCGTAAGGAGAAAGATTCACTCGGGCAGGTTTTTTGCAAATATTACTCCTTTTTTTAACAGACTGATATGTGGTTTCTTCTTTGAACACTAGACTCAAAGCTCATCAAGGGCTAATCGTTATCGCCACCATTTTCCTCACTTCCTCCTGTTTTATTCATATCATACACCTCATTCATCATAATTATTTTAATAGAAATACTCTACCTTGCGTGCCTCTGGAGCCTTGTATTGAATGAACTTTAGTATAAAAAAAAGAAGTAGAAAGTTCTGAAAATTCGCTCCGTAGGATTGTGATAGAATTAAAAATAACAGATTAAATAAAGGTATTTCGTTTCTCATTCCCGGAACTCTGATAAGAATATCAGAGTTACTTGCCCTTCTTCACAGCGCCAAGATAACAAAATAATAATGATTTATATAAAAAAAACAGTTTTTAATTGTCTTTTCTTTTAAAATAGAAAGATCGAGAAGGTTAGCGTATCTTGCAGAATCTTCCGTTGAAACGCATTGCTTTTCCAACGAAATGAAGTTTCGCTGTAGCGAAAATAATATTAAGGAATCTTCTTTTAAATGAAAATTAAGATCACAATTTTGCTAAGGCTTTGAGCGAAAAGATTGATTAAAGAAAGAAAGCGAAGAAAGGGAAGAGGAAAGAAAGAAAGAAAACGAAGATGAAAGAAAGGAAACGAAGATGAAAGAAAGAAAGAAAGAAAGAAAGAAAGAAAGAAATCAAAGAAATAAAGAAACAAACAAAGAAACAAAAAAAAAACAACAAAGAAAATAGAAACAAAGAAAGGGAAGATGAAAGAAAGAAAGAAAGAAAGAAAGAAAGAAAGAAAGAAAGAAATATTAAGAAAGAAAGAAAGAAAGAAAGAAAGAAATATTAAGAAAGAAAGAAAGTAAGAAAGAAAGAAAGAAAGAAATATTAAGGAGATACTAACAGATATAAGAAAGAAAGAAAGAAAGAAAACGAAGATAAAAGAAAGAAAGAAAGAAAGAAAGAAAGAAAGAAAGAAAGAAAGAAAGAAAGAAAGAAAGAAAGCGAAGAAAGGGAAGATGAAAGAAAGAAAGAAAGAAATATTAAGAAAGAAAGAAAGAAAGAAAGAAAGAAAGAAAGAAATATTAAGAAAGAAAGAAAGTAAGAAAGAAAGAAAGAAAGAAATATTAAGGAGATACTAACAGATATAAGAAAGAAAGAAAGAAAACGAAGATAAAAGAAAGAAAGAAAGAAAGAAAGAAAGAAAGAAAGAAAGAAAGAAAGAAAGAAAGAAAGAAAGAAAGCGAAGAAAGGGAAGATGAAAGAAAGAATGAAAGAAAGAAAGGAAACGAAGATGAAAGAAAGAAAGAAAGAAAGAAAGAAAGAAAGAAAGAAAGAAAACGAAAATGAAAGGACGAAAGAAAGAAAACGAAAAAATCAAAGAAAGAAAGAAACAAACAAACAAAAAAGAAACAAAGAAAGGGAAGATGAAAGAAAGAAAGAAAGAAAACGAAGATGAAAGAAAGAAAGAAAGAAAGAAAGAAAGAAAGAAAGTGAAGATGAAAGTAAGGAAAATCAATGAAAGAGACAAAAGAAAGCTTAAGAAAACGTAATGGAAGAAAATCAATATCAAAAATGACACCCCCATTTGTAGTTTAAGTGAATGCATGCATTTTCCTGCAAAATAATCCACTCAGAATATTTTCATCCACATTTCCATAAAGGGTTATAAAAATAAAACAAAAGATACTTCAGTAGATATTTTGCAAAGAAAAGAAAAACATTATTTCGCATTTCACCTTTATGTTTTCGCTTATTATTTTTTAAAAATGCTTTATGTTATAAAACACTAACCGAAATAGATTTCTATTAAGGAAAACTATAAAAACTATAAAAACGGAAGCCAACGATTTCTTTTAGAAGAAAAATCAAGAAACAAAACAAATTCAGTGAAAAAGATAAAATATGATTTTGTCTGGTATTTCGTTTTATCGTTTGCCACCTGACATTTTTTATATCATCAACTTAAACGCTTGATGTGCCCGTTTTCATTTCGAATGAGATATATTTGAGGAAATAAATCTCAGAATAGAAAAGAAAAGAATTTTGATATATCGCTCCTAACGGCAACTCACGAGTGACATTATTGCTATTTCATGATTACATAACATTGATTTTTCGAGAATAAAACACAGACATTATGGCTTCTATTCATACAGCTACCTAGCTATCAAACTAAGATAGATAGATAGATAGATAGATAGATAGATAGATAGATAGATAGATACGAGTAGACTGGGATAGATAGATAGATAGATAGATAGATAGATAGACAGATAGATAGATAGATACGATAGATGGGATAGATAGATAGATAGATACGAGTAGACTGGGATAGATAGATAGATAGATACGAGTAGACTGGGATAGATAGATAGATACGAGTAGACTAGGATAGATAGATAGATACGAGTAGACTGGGATAGATAGATACGAGTAGACTGGGATAGATAGATAGATAGATAGATAGATAGATAGATAGATAGATAGATAGATAGACTGGATAGACTGGGATAGATAGATAGATAGATAGATAGATAGATAGATAGATATGATAGATAGATAGATAGATAGATAGATATGAACAGACTGAGATAGATAGATAGATAGATAGATAGATAGATAGATAGATAGATAGATAGATATGAACAGACTGGGAGAGATACATAGTTTAGTTGACTGATTTGCCTGCAGATTCCTAAGGCACTAGAAGAATTATCTCATAGATGGTTTTTTGTTTTTTAAAGAATAAAACAATAACGATCATTTGCTAAAAATTGCACGAGTAAATATAAATTCTTTTCATTGGTAATCATACGTTTTATAAATACGAAATATCAGAATAATTTCTTATATTTTGTGAGGTGCAGCTTGTGTATTTATCCACATATACTTCGCCAACATGTCAACACATTACAGACACAGTTTAGTAAAAATTTCCAGATAATGAAAGCTAAAATATTTACACTATATATATATATATATATATATATATATATATAGTATAGCTAATAAATCCGTTGGTATATAATACAAAGGATCCTAGTAATATCACATATTAAAACTGATCCACAAAAAGAACTCAATGTATTTATTATAACACAGCATAATCCCAAATTACTTTATCTGTGGAATTATAAATCTATTTCAACGAACGGGAAGTACGTTAATCTTATTCAATCCTGGTTTGTACACCGAAGTTCAATAAAATTAACATCCTTCTGGCTGGTTTAAAAGATCTGTACCTCTCATATGAGATAATTTTGGATTTTGTTGCGTAATATATATATATATATATATATATATATATATATATATATATATATATATATATATATATATAATGAAATGGACAAAGTCCGAAAATTATTTTAAGACATTTTATGTTTATGCATTATTTTTATAGATACAAATATTTAAGTAAATGCTCTGTTTATAATAAACAGAGCATTTACTTAAAATTGTCCAAATCGTGTAACAGCAAAATTGTCCAATTGTCATATTAAGATTTGAACCAGTGTATATCTTACAGGAATTCTCTGAGCTTTTTCTAACACTAGGCTTCATTACCGAGACAGGACGGTTGTGACTAGACTTGGTGAAAGCTCATCTCTCCTGCCAGTTTTATTAGAAAAAAACAAATCATAAATGACAACTCCCAGACCACACTCTCCCCAGTTCGAATTATTTGGGTTTGAGACTATTGTGACTTTTCGATTGTGGAATCGCAGAGCCGAGTTCGAATCCAGGTTGAATCCATTACATTCACTTACGTGCTAATACCCTTGGGAAAGGTCTGAATCCTATTCTTCTCCCTCCAGCTATGGGTTAAATAGCAGGACAGACTGGGTTCTATAGCCTTGGTTGGCAACTGGTCTAGGAGAAGGACAACTCTGAATTCAAAACCTGAGGGTGGTCGTTTGGGGACCATGTGGCGCTTAGTGCACCAGGTCTCTGTATTCGTCCCTTCAAAAAGTGGGGATGGTCCTGCACGAAACCTTCACCACTATAATCGAATCTCATGTGCTGTTGTCGGGCTGTCGGTTTCCTAGGAACTGATCTGCTTGACTCTCATACGTCGAACCCGATGGGCGAATCGATTTTTTTTTAAAGATTTTATATATATATATATATATATATATATATATATATATATATATATATATGGCTAAGATACAAATACAAGCTGGAGAGCAACTTGTCAGCTGTCAATATACCACATAACACTCTTTGAGCGCTTAGCCTTGGAACGGGTTGAATGGAGATCAAAGCGAGAGCAAGATCTAAAAGATCAGCCAATCTAAGAGTGATCTCATCTCACAATCCTCACTCTTACTCCATATGTGGCCTCCTTTGTAAATCACTAGCGGGTGTTAAATGCCACTTAAGATTATCGCACAAAATTTCATAACTGAATCAATTAAACTGTCAGATCCTCATATATCGAAACCGACGGGAGAGTCCATATATATATATATATATATATATATATATATATATATATATATATAGGTAACTATACTGTCTGAAAAAACCTTCGAATTTTGATTTGCCAATAATCAAATCAATCTCGAAGGAAAAAGGTTTAAAAAAAAGAAAGAGCCAGGAACATGAAAGTCTGTCGAAAAAATCGCACAGATACAGGTTTAAAGCCCAAAGAAAAAACCCCGACTCGAGTAAACAACTAACTAACAAAAGAGCTCAATACAACCGTAGAGCAGATCTAGTCAAACCTAGTGAGTCAGCCAAACCTACCCAGGTTTCACATAAGCGGATCGTCAGGGAAAGCCAGCTTTCCTTGATGATCCGCTTAGGTGAAACCTGCAGGTTTGTCTAACTCACTAGGTTTGACTATATATATATATATATATATATATATATATATATATATATATATATATATATATATATATGTGATGTATGTATTTGTATATGAACGCTTGCTCGTACATTTACTTATATATATATATATATATATATATATATATATATATATATATATATATGCGTGTGTCTATGTGTTCATACATGGATAAAAATCACATAAAATGAAGATATTTAGTTCCAAAATCATATTTCGTCGAAATAAAATAAGATAAATGAGAAATGCCGTTGAATTTAATTATTCATTAAATTTTTTCCAGTCTAAACTAACTAAAGTTGGATTTTCAGAAAAGGCCAGCTAAGCACCCCCTGAACGCACAGTCCGCAGGGATTGCATCTCCCTGTCGCTTGTATATACATATACGCACACATAGACGTATTTATAAAACGATGATGCCCTAAGCAGATTTTATAAAGCTTCATACTTAAACTAGAATTCTCTATACTTTCTCTAGATTTAAACTGTTTTCAATAATACGTCCATCCATTGATGTGACTAGCAAAGTGACATAGATTTTCAATTCCATACATCATGACAGGCTGCGCTATTGGCTCCTTCTTTGTCAAGCCAATACCAGCAAGAAGTTAAACTTTTAATAAGGAAAATCAATCATTGGTCTGGGTCATTTGTCGTTTTGTTAATGTCGAATAGAGAGGCGCATATGAAAGGCGGGCCGTTTAATTACAAATTATGTTCAGGTCGAAGAATAGTGAAGAAATTTCTAATTGCTAATTTTGAATCAGAAGAGAACTCAATATCTAAATTAGTACTCTGGATGATGATGATCATGCTGATGATGATTATGATGCTGATGATGACGATGATGATGATGTTGATGATGATTATGATGCGTATACTAATGATGATGATGATGATGATGATGATGCTGATAATGCTGCTGCTGAAGATGATGCGGATGATGATGATGCTGATGCTGATGATGTTGATTATGACGCTGATGCTGCTAATGATGCTGATGACGATGCTGCTGCTGATGATGATGCTGATGATGTTGATGCTGATGATAATGTTGATTATAATGCTGATGTTGATGATGATACTAATGTTGATGATGATACTAATGATGATTATGATGATGCTGCTGCTGATGATGCTGCTGCTGATGATGATGATACTGATTATGATGCTGCTGATGATGCTTTCGTTACGCCAGCTTTTCAGAGATACTAAGTCGTATAAAAATGGGTTTTTAAAATCCTTCTGTTTTCTTCAGCGAACGACATAACCACTTGAATTACAGAACAGATTTCCTGCTTGGTGCACTAATTCGTGCCTTGATTAAACGGAACATTAAAACAGCACTTCTGCACGAACCACTAGACATATATTTAGTGGGTAATCGAATGACAAAATGTAAATCTCCTAAGTAACGCATTCAGACTGATAACGATTTTATCGATTGATTATGTCTTATGGGATGAAATAAATACAACAAATGCTGGTTACAATACAAGATCGAAAACATTAAAAAAAACAAAAAACATTCAATTGAAAATGTCTTTATTTTTGACGTCCGATGTAGCAAGATGTTTAACTTTGCTGATTTCATTCACGTTTCTGTCGCTTTAGTTTTTATTTTCATCTTTTTTTTATTATTTCATATTATAACATCATTTGTTTTGTTAGAAAGGAAAATATTTTGTACTGAAGATAAATTTACCGTAAAAGCCACCAAAATTAGTTTCCTTTCAATACATACAATACTTTCAACATATTTCCGCTTTGATATGTTATTTTATCTTTTAATTAAAATTGCATTCTTTTTCTCACAAAACTACAGGGAGGTAATTGAAATATTTTTTTATAAATAATGATACCTTAACAGGTAAAATTATTTCACATGAGTCCTTATTTTATACTCCAATAATATTTTCCTTTGTTTTCTTCTTTCAAAGTTGATATGGTTATCCTTTTTTAGTTTTTGCAATACACAAACCACAAACATACCCAAATAGGATCATTATATTCACTGTGAGATGCAGAACCCATAATATTAGTAATATTTCCATTTCTCCTTTTAATGTTGATATAATTGTCTTTTTCATCTTTTGTGAGGAACATACAGGAATCAGATCATTATTATCACAGTGAGTGTGGATGCAGACCCCACACCGTTAGTAATCTTTTCATTTCTCCTTTTAATGTTGATATGTCTAACCTTTTTAGTTATTGCAATACCCAAACCACAGACATACGAAAATCGGATCATCATTATCTGGGTGAGCGTAAATGCAAATCATACATTATTATTAATTTGAAAATTGATTGCGAGCTCATATAGCATATTTCTTTTGAAATCTTATATATTGTCAGGTTTTTTTTTTTGTTTTTTTTTTCACTTCAGTCACGAGATCGGTCAGTCTGCAGAGTATAGGATGCTTTTTTTATCGAGACATCATCTCGAAGTAGCCAACCAAGGCTAAAGATGAGGACTTGTTAATCGACGTCTTCCAGTTTCATCTACCACATTTCACTCACCAGGATTGGGTCAAACTGTGTTGTGGTTTCCAGATAGTTCCCACCAGTAACGCCTGCTAAGAACGTCTTCCCAAACCGATATTATCAAGGTCACCTAAATGATAAATTTACTATGGAGAGATTTGAACCCGTATTTTATGATCGAAACTTAAACTCTCTAATCACTCGGCCACACATCCATGACTGTAAATAAAATTACCTACGCTTGCTAATAGAATATTAAATTATTTACTATGTATATCGCAGTTACTTTCCACTTTCTTAATAACGATACTATTAGAATCACGATTATATTGTATTTAGA